GCTCCCCATGTCAAGACTCGTGACCCGCCATTGAACAACACTCTCTCAACCAAAAAAAAGGGGGAAAAAACAACATAAACAACAACAATAATTGGCCTAATAATGATAAAAATAATGATGATGAAGATGATGATGATGACGACGACAACGACGATGATGATAATAATTAGGCTGCCTGTAATCGATCATCTGATGCATTTCTCTTCAATTCTCTTCAATTTCTAAAGTGAGAAATTAACCGTAAAGGTGTTTTGTGTATGACTCATAGCCTATCTGGTGTGATTAACGGCATTATAAAAACTTAGATAGGCCCTACCTGGTTACTGAGACAACGTGATATTCTGATTTGAATCCACCGCCCGCACGATACACCCACACCTATGTACTTTCTGATTTTTCTCTTTAAACGCTCAGACAGTCTTTGGCTGGTACTTAATGACGTTCATTTGCAATCTAGTTTTTCCCCTCACTTAAACTTTCCTCCCACACTAATGAGCTTCCTCATTTTTCTTCCGTTGTTGTCAAGCGCGCCCCGAGGTTCGTCCAACGGGAGGCGCTATAATACAAATTGCAAATTATTATTATTATTAATACACCACTGTACACACATTATTCTGTGTGTCTACGTGTTGAAAACACAAAACTGACGACTAAATACAAGGGAAAGAAACTGGGACTTCCTTTTGTGCTTAATGTTAGGTTAGGTGGAAAGATCTTAGGCTTATATAGCCAGATTTTGTTCATGTTTGCCTGCGTCTTATCGATCCCGAACGAACTCCTACTTAATACACATTCTATCACATGAATGAATGCAACCCGTTTATATAAAGCGCTGTTGTAAATATTGGCATAGGCCCTATACAGTATATTTCTATTTAATTTTATATTTTTGTTCCGTAATTGTACCATGTTTTTGGTATGTCAACAGTCGAGGGCAGGGTCGGATTTAGGGGGGGGGCGGCCCGGCCCCGGCCCCCCCCCCCATTATATAAGTATTCCCTCACGGAGTGTCATGGTCGAAGCGACAGTTGAATGAATCAGAATTACATTTACAGAGGCGGATTTAGAGTGGTGGGGGTGGGCCCTTAGGAAGTCAAACAAAAAATTATCGCAAAAAAAGTTCTCGGAGGTTATTTTCGGGTGTCTAGAACCCAGGATTTTACGGGGGAATGCCGCCGGACCACTAGGGTATTGTTATCTCGATCGGCCTCACTTTCGCCCCCCCCCCCCCCCCCCCCCCCCCCCCCCCCACCTTTTTTGACATCTCTGGATCCCCCTGATTTATGCGAGTATTAAGAATTAGAAGATTGCATTATAAGTATATCAATATTGTTATTGGTATTGCTTATCAATGTTTTTACACCTTGATGTTCGTGATTCCTGTTTGTTCTCTGCCTGTTGTTTGACATTGCGCATTGAGCACCAATTTTGGTGGTGATGTTTGCGCTTTAGAAATCGTATTATTATTATTATTATTATTATTATTAAAAAAATACTTATAATGGTCACATTATTAAGAAGACACAACAATAATTGTTACTTAACCAATATCCTGAGGCGCGTGGAACGGAGAGAGTAATTATTATTATTATTGTTATTATGCAGTTAAACATACCCCTAATTAAGCCTATTGTGTGACTATTAAACCATAGAATTTATTATTTAGTTTATATAACAGAACTCCGTTGGTAAAAAATAAGTATTATATAATGTTATTCATGACCTCTCTCGAGTTTAAGAACATCATAAATACATTCGCTTTTTTGTGTCACATTACATTAGACCTACGATAAAATTTGATGAGATTTTATGAGTCAAAACAAGCTGGCACTGTATACAATTTGAGGGTGTTCGTAGTAAGCAGCCAAAGATAATTAACACTAAAAGTGTTTCAATCAATGTTATCTCATTTGTTGGCACAGTGCGAGTAACTTAATGATTTTAAAATTATCAACTTGATTGAATTGTTGAGTGGAGTTTTTTTCACACATTTTAAAACAGCTCATATTTCAATAAGATGTCTTTTCAAATAATTTGATTCAAAGAATCACCATCATCATTTATTGTAATTGATTTTATACAAACAAAAATTATCAAACATCTAGGCCCGTAGACAGTCTGCCGATGCGGGGGTGGGGTATTATGTGTATAGGTTCAGAGGGCGCTAGAGCTTGAGTGTTTAAATTTAACATTAAAAAAAAATACATCTTGCAGTATAAGATATTATAATGGACACAAACGCACGTACGTTTGCGTATATTTTTAAACTGCCGTTTTGTGGGGCCTCAGCAGCAATATCCCAAGGAAAATCCAATTATCATACAAAGGAAAAATTAAATGTTAATGTAAATTCCTACACTCAGCACCAACATTTTGGATGGAGATGTGCGCTTTATAAATTACTATACTGAAAGGGGGTTTTCGGACCATAAAGCCCATGGCTATGGGCTTGAACTTCAAAAAAATACAGTATTAGGCATTTGAAGCTCCATATCACATGGATTACCAATCAATAAATTATTAAGATCAAGAATTAGTGTCAGAGTTACTGGTATCACATATACTGTATTTTTTTGTCTACTGCCCCTGCGAGGGTCAGTATAGACACTTAGGCCTAGCTATCGTCTGGAAATTTATTTGTAAGAGTAAATCCAGTGAGGTGCATGATGGGATATTGCGTCATAAGCAATGATTTGTCTCGCTCGGGCCAGGTTTTACCTTTTATCAGATTGGTCTCCCAATTCTGCGAGCCTATTCTTATTGATTCGGCATAAGTTTGCAATGCAGTGGTAAGTCCTCATAAATGTCACCAATGAATATATGAAAGAATACATTTTCGTGGTGAGTACAATTTAAATTTATTTATTTATTCGAATTATCCATAAAAACTATAGAATGAAAGAACACTTGAAAACAGGAGAGTGATATTTCAGTAAGCAAACTACAACGCAAGAGGGCGGTAGAACACAGAAATATGAGGAATTGTTTAAAGCATAACCTAAATTAAAGCCATCATTGAATGACAATTACAATATAAAAAATTGAACCACGGAACGCGATAACATCATAACAACTTTCTCCACGTGATGCACTATAAATAATGACACCACAGACTAATCACTTAGTTGTACATTCTAAAACATTGGTCATCGATTTTTAAATAAAGCACTTTCAAGGAAATAACTCACTTTCCTCTCCTTAGCAACATTCATTAAAATAATTTAAAGTGCAAGTACTGTATATTATAAAACACTGTAGCGCACTGTGTAGTCTTTTGAATTAAACTGAACTACGTTTTTTTTAATAAAAAATTATGAAACAAAAACCCTAATCATACTGAACAACTGCATATGTGCACAGATACAGTAATTATTAGGTACAATATATAATCCTGTCTATTCTTTCCTGAATTAGACATATTTGAAATATGTTTAGATAAATTAAATGTAGGATCGAACAGGCAGGTTTGAATCAATTTTCAAAGAAGCCATGATTATGCAATAAAATACAAGCATTACATTGAGTGCGTACAGCAGCATTTGATTTATAAAAAGTGATCACGCCCTCTATAGTATGAGTTAGTAATACGTTTCCAAAATACTTGGCGATATTTCTACTAATTAATTTTATATACTCTCTATTAACAATCAGTAATGCGATTGAGATCTCTTAAAACGTTTCCTTTTTTTTCTTTAGTGTTTGGAAAACTTGTTCAAGAATCTACAGTAACAAACATTACTAACAAGGTGCTAGAATGATATGTCTTTTTTTCTTATAAAATGTGGCCTTAATAATAAATTCACCTGATTCAGTCCTATCATCTTGAGACTTTTTAGGGTCTGAACATTCAGTGAAAAATTTAAACTGTATACATTTTAAATGATGCTAGTAACATCAGTAGTTGTCATGAATTCAGAAAAGGTTGCTATGGCACAATTTTACTTCATAATACAGAAACTCTATGGTGAAGAATTTGAAGTTTCAGAACATTAGAAAATTACTAAGAATTTTCACAAATAAAATACATTGGTAATATTTAAGATAATATTGAAGATAATGTAAGTACTACAAAAAATAAGCATAGACTTTATAAAAATCAAGTGCAGTCTGAGTTACTACAAATACATTGATTTAAAAATCAAATGCAGTATACTGAACAAACATTAATGAATGATAATTAATATGATTTGTTTAATATCCAATGCTCCATCTTTCCAAATTCCCTGCAAACAGCATCATCAGCCTTTGTTTCATTTTTAATCAATCCTTAAAATTTCCATACAGATTGAATATCAAAATACAAAATGTGATTTCTTCGAAAGAATAGTCATCAACAGTTTCAATATGTTCAGTTTCTTTTTAATCAAAGCATATCCAATAAACCGAAAACGTCAGTTCTCAAACATGTTCCCCATACACTGGTCACTAATCATAAGCTTTCCTTACTAAAATGGTGCCTGGCGGTGTTCGTTAACCATGTTTCTTTTCATTTCTTTTCATATCAATGAACAGAATGAATACGAAGATAAGTCTTTTGTTTGGTTGGGTTCCCTCTCTGATAATAAATTGGAATGTAACTTAAACACAGTATAAGAAATTAGTTTTAGAAAAAGAAGGTATCCACAATCTAGGCATAGGCCACATGGTCACATGCTCTGATTAAACTTGAACAATTCATCCGCCCGGGATAACTAACGAACGTTGCCTCCATAACGATCGTCCTCGCTAGGCCACGCTGCTACGATTGCCCTGCTCTCTTCCTAGCATAGCAGCCTAAACATGCGCATATTCCTAGAATTCCAAATATTAGACCAAATATTAAAGCTATAGCATCTCCGGCATCGAATGCTGATACAACTGGTAAACAAACTGCTATCCAAATAGCTACTAACTCTGCAAAAAGAGTGAACATTTTTGGTCGAAATTCAGCAACAAGTACAGTACTAGCCTACTAGTACACTTCAGTAATCAGGGAGATCCGGAAGTACAAGATATTCTCACGCTCATGTGATTGATCAGCACGTGATCTCAGCTGTGACGACACGGTGGACGCGACTATTTTTTCGGTCGAATGTCAAAATCAAAATGTGCCAATGACGTGTGTTTTCATCACGTGACCACTGAATTAGTTGCTGTTTTGACACCGGGAAAATGGCGGAATGTGAAAACAAATATCCTCCTTCTTCTTTAGCAGCATCAATAAGTCAGTTAGACGACTCTGAACTCACTTCAGAAACGATATCGGAAGTGAAACAAACAGAGGAAACAGGTGTACCTTTAAATACGCCATGGACATTTTGGGTCGATCGGTAAGTAAGTGGCGAAATGACATGTTGATTCGGATTAGGGCTAGCTAGCTAGCTAGGCCTAGCCTCTATTCTATAAGATAGGCCTAGGCCTAGAGAGGCAAAGCCTAGACTTGGCACGGCAGGATTATGACGATCAGACTGATTCCTTCGGTGAAAAACAGCTGACTAATATTATTTTTATTGTGTGACCTGTCCTACTGTAGCTAGAGCTGCTTTGTTATGTTAACACTGATGCTTGTCATTACTTCATCTTGTTTATTCACACGAGCCAAATGCGTACACTGGGCCTACCGTTTAAAGTCCTTATCCGAGAAGACTTGTTCCACCACCGGAACCATTGGCGAGTGAGCTGAACGTTACGGTGCTCCTGAAATAACCGCTCGGCCAATTAACTCGCCAAATCCGTCTACATCACTATTGTATTGCTTGTATTGCCCAGTATACAACTTGCAACAGCCAATCTTGTGCATTCAATAAAGCTGATGAAGGTCAGAGGACTGGCCGAAAATTTCTTTTGAAAATATATACAGTGTTCAATAGTCTACATGCCTTGTATATATATAAAACTTTTTATAGATATTTACGTCTGGGATGTCAAAAATTAAAATGACCTTCCAGTTCAGACCCTTGACTGATTCGTCACCAACACATAATACTAGTCTATCTTCCTTGTAACTTGGTTAAACTTTTTCCGAATGTTCCATTCAGATCAGTTGATCCGTTTTCCGTATGAAATATGTAGTCTGGGACGTTTTCCTTTAAATAGTCCTCAGATCCACACCATACTGCAGATCGTTACAAAAATTTTATCATTTTTTTACAAGACCTTTACAAAGTATTATAGAATATTTCATTTAGACCCGTTGGTTTTTTTTAAAGAGATATTTAGGTCTGGGTCCTCAAAAATTGAAAAGACCCTCCAATTTACACCCTTCACTGGATCGTCACTAACACATACAAATTCCTTCCTTGTAACTTGATTAAACTTTCCCGTAAGTTTCATTCACATTAACTGACCGGTTTTTGAAATCTCCTGTGTAGACTGTTTGACCTTAAATCACTTTAATTGGTTCTCACACACACACCCCACCACAGATTGACACTAAATATTAGGAGGCACATCCTTGATATATGGCCTATGCTTCAGCAAAGCAGGGAAAAATTCTAAGCATGGGAAGTGACCAAAGTGACAGCCAGGAAAAAACAGTGCAAAAAGATTGGAAAAATATAGTGTTTAACGACAACAAGGCCTCTAAGCGCTTTACATTATTACCCCCTGTCATTGGATTAAATGCCTATGGAACACAAACTCAAACTCACTGGGGGATTATTCCATAACATTGCAGGCAGCTACATCAGAGCATTTTGGCATTTAACATAATTTAACCCTACCAGCTACAGTACCCATTTATACTCATGTATGAGAGGAGCAGTGCAGATTATGTGCCTTGCCCAAGAACGCAAGTGGAATGCACATTAAGGGGATTGAAACCCCGACCTCGAGGGTGGGAAACCAACCGTTCCCACTGCGCCAAACCACTTCTACAAGTTCTACAGTAGTAGCAGCTGTGCATAGCATGCCTGCAACATTCTACACACATGTTCTTCCAAACTATAAATTTGTTATTCAGGAAAATAAAGTGGAATCACTGTAACCTTGGAAATCATTGCATAATATTAATTATAAGTCAATTGTGATGTCACCATTGTAACTCCCAATGTTATTTCCCTATCCCAAACTGTGCTCTATTATTTCATTAGTCCACAGTTTGCAGGCCCTCAGGAATTTGTTAATGCATTAATGTAACCTTAAATAATTTCCACTAATGTATGATATGCAAATATACTAATTTGCTTAATAAGTGATTTGAATACTGGTACTGGTATTGGGTATTTACAGTATATTGCGCCTTTCCCTTGCGGTTATGAAGCGCAAGCCAAGCCTCAATACTTCTGGAAAACAATGGTAGGCATAAAATCAGTCATTATTCAGGAACCCCATGCATTACAATAGTACAATATGAATATTGTAAAGTGGTGCTGGTAAATTGGTAATGATGTATATTCATTATATTATTGTTCTACTGTATATGTTCAACTTTACTTTAATGAAAGAAAAGTACACAATAGTAACACTTAGTAAGGCTTATTTTGTTTAATGTACTGTACTCTATTTTGATTAGTTAAATGTCACATGTTATCACGTTTTTTGTACAGTGTATCACATATGTTTGTATAGTTCTGTGTTGTATGTTTTGCCAAATATAAAACTATTTTTTTTTCTTTATTTTTAGGTCTGTCCCTGGAACAACAGCTGCCCAGTATGAAGCAGAACTGAGGAAAATATATACTTTCCACACTGTTGAGGTACGTAGTGTGGTAGATGGACACTAACCTTTGGGCCTGAAATCTGAAGGCACGCATCTAACCTCCAACATACAACTGGAATATATTTTTCTACTTCCATTGTTTATGTTTTGGTGGTATTGTTCATTTCATCTATTATTTATTTGGCCTTCACCAACTCTAAGATTAAAACAGATTGCATTTTTATAATAAATAGCTACATCATTGTTTTGAAAGCCTTATAATGCAAACAACAGTGCCTCATCAAAAATCTGTTCAATTTGTTGTATGTAGAATGCATTAAGTCATAGAATATTTTAAAAAATGTATAAATTTTACACTTGATAATAATGGATATCATTTTCTTAGCATATTTCTTTTTAATTTAGAGTTTCTGGAAAGTTTTCAACAACATCCCGGATCCAAGTTGCCTAGCAACTAGGTGTAGTTACCATCTAATGCGAGGGACAAATAAACCTATTTGGTGAGAATTTTATGATGTAAAGACCTTCTGAAAATGGTGGATAGTGGTAATGTTTGTGCCTAGTAACTATTTCCAAAGGTTGTGTGTTGGTGGTGATGTAGTCAGTAGAAGCAGGGTTTGATTTTTCGGTTGTTTTTTTTACTAGCCAACTGGGCTAGTTCAATGTCGATTTCAATAGCCCACAGGCTATTTTACTAGCCCAATCATTGGCTATACAATACTCCATGTGTACATACAGTACTGTATGTTGTTTTGCTGTTCGCATATTTGAGATTTTTAGTCGACCACAGATAGGATAATAGTTAGGCCTTGTATCAACTTGTAAAGGATAACAAAAACCACACACAATTGTCATTTGTATATGTCTATTCCTTTATTTTTGATTAATCACTGAAATATTAAACCTGTCGCATAGCTTTATTTAGGGCAAGGAGTAGGCCACGAACATCGTGCATAGCCTAGGCCTCTCTACTGAACTACTAGCTACAGATAAAGATCACGTTTTTGTTTACCGTAATTTTAAGCAGAACCTGCAAAGCGATGCAATACTAATGGACCTTGCCGAATTAAGGCTAGTCATGCTGGACCACATTTCCTTCATTTTTTACTAACTGTCGCCCACAGCTTTCCAACACTTGCCACAAGGTTATTAACCTTTAACACACTTTACTGTGTTCTGGATTTTCGGGGTTGCCAAGATTTATTTTCCATTGGGTTTTCCATGTGACATTCAGTAATTTTACAATCAACAGACATTAACTCTCCCTTATATTTATCATTTATCTTACTAAATCAAAACTACCGGGTACAAAATATTATTTGTTGAACAATCTTTTCACATGTGTGTATTTTAATTGAGGGCGTCATTTTTTGACAGTCGTAGGCAAATTAATTAAAAAACATAATACAGCAGTACAAACAAGTTCCTATCGCCGACAGCGAGTGTGAAAATGGAGACTTCCATCAAATCAAGTGTACGTTTTTCTTATTGAAAAAACAGCTCCATAAGCTACAGCAGTCTTTCTGCGCATACAAATAAACAACACACTTTTGCTTTCTGGATTCGCTTTGTAGGCTAGGCTTGCTTAGATTGTTTATATCAGGCTACGATGTACCTACGAAGCCTGCGCGCATGAAAAATTGCAATAGTTTCCGGCGGTAGTGTAGGCCTTGTTCACTCAGCCCACCGGACAAAAAGGAAGGGAGGTTGACTAGCCCGGAGCAGTTTTTACTAGCCATTGTACGCCGGGCTAGTAAAAAATTGAGCCCTGAGTAGAAGTATCATTGCTTTAGTCAGTGGCAGTACCGCTGCCATAGGTGGTGGTGGTGTGTCTTCGTGTTGGTGATAGTGTAGTCAGTGGCAGCACTTTTGTACAAGTTTACTAATATGTATGACCTTGGTTTGTATTTATTTACTCCACAGGGAGGAACCTTGTAATGCACATGGTGGAGACTGGAAACTAAAAGTACCAAAGAATCAAAGTGTAAGTACTTGCTTAGAGTGAGCATAGTGTTATTTTATAATAATATTAGTGTTATCTTCCTTCCGTGTAGCTATCATCAACTGATGATTTGCAGGATAACTAACTAGTGTTATTAACACTTCTACATTTACAATGATTATAGCGATGATATCACATTTGTAATTCTTATTTTTAGTTTAATAAATTCTATGATTTCTTTTAGTCAATAGTTTGGAAAGAAGTTCTTCTAGCAGCAATAGGTGAACAGTTTGCAGATTGCTTTGCCGAAGGTCAGAGTTCATAAGTTTCTGCTCTTAAGAAATTGACTACTTAGTTTTTTGAAACTTTTTTGAGGAAAAAAAATGATATGACAGTTTATTAATCATGTCAATTAATTGAATTACCTTATTACCGTTACTGTATAAGCATTGTCTTATTAACTATCTAATATATAATTAACCTACATCATTAATTTAATTAGAACTTTCATTTTTGTTCATTGCCATATAATAATAAACTGTGACTAAACCTGTATTCATCTTTGTATGTCAGGTGATGATATATGTGGAGTAAGTATCAGTCGACGTGGAATGGAAGATGTGATTCAGATATGGAATGCCAGTACTCTACTACATGAACAATCCACAGTGGTCCAGAAGATAATGCAACTATTACCAGATTTCCAGTTTAAAACAGTCTTTTATAAATGTAAGTTAATTTTATCAATATTATTCTTTTGTAATACAGGTCTCTCTCTAATTAAAGACCCCTCCAAGTAATGATCACCTCCAATTAAAAACCACTTTTCTGTTGTCCAAAATTTAAAAATTTATTTTACCTTTATTATTCTAATTATAGACCAAAGCTGCTAAAGACCATGGAACCCCGGTCCCAAAAGTGATCTTTAATTGGATTGAGACCTTTTCACTTGTTCCTTCTTTTTATTCTCAAACATCATCATATTGAATGCTCTATTATTTTCTTCACATTTAAGGCTTCTGGAATGTTGCCTTTTTTTTATTCATATTTATTTTTTTTGTTATTTTTTACTGTTACAAGTACTTGTGGCATTAGAGCAGGAAACGCATATCTAATTTGATTAATCTATCAATTAAAAGAAATGTCATGTTATTGGGAATGCAGTTGAAAACATGTTTTAAAACCTTCACTTCCATGCAGTATGACAGAACTTCTTCCTCAATTGCAACGGCAAGTTTTAAAGGGTGCCACCAAGTTAAATTTTCTCCAATTGTATGCAGTAATACACAACAGACATCACAAAATTTAATTTTTACCAAATTACATACCTGTAGTTTTTCAGAGTTAAAGCCCCGTTCCCGGCAAAATTTCACTAAACAAAGGGGTTTTTTTTAGAAAAAATGCATATGCATTAATTATTATAAACCATGGAGAAATATTGGCATAAATTTTAGTTTACGCAAAAGAATAAAAAAAAATTGAGTACAGAATATTTCTCATATGAGACTACCATTTTCTCGACGAATCCTTTGTTACTAGGCAAATTCAGAGGTTGTACTATAGATCGCATCTGCTTGAACGCTCTCACTTTCATGTATACTTTATACAGTCAATAAAGTGCACCCTCTCTAATGAGATTAGTTTTTGTACTTCGCATCTCTCACACTGCGGTTGATCGAGTAGGCCTGAGATATGTTTGTTTAATTGTCAAAATCTCGGAATCATTTTTTTAAACAAAATTGAAATAATATCATGTCGGCTGCTTTTATGTGTGATAACAGAACCTAAATCGAGGTAAGGCTAGGCCTAGCCTGCAGTGTTTGTTAGGCTAATGTTTCTGGTGCCTACTATATTTCTGTATTTGTGCAGTTGTGGCTTGGCAGCGCTACCAGTGTTATAATAAGGAATACAAAAGAAACGATATAGAGATAGGAGCATGCCAGCTACTGGTCTATTTGCAACACACTGTATGGCAGCAAAATATAGTTTTTGAGCATAAATACATTATTATTATTATTATTATTGTTATTATTATTAGTGTTGTTATATTTATTTGGTATAAAAACATACAATTTACAAATAGACGGACTACTACATATTTGTTTGTTATACCATTTTTCTGATATTTTGCTTTTTTTTCTTAGCACATCAGCAACACACTGCCTTTGAAGGAGGAGCAAAAAAGTGATTGGTCCATTTCTTGTTGCTATGGTTATTTGTTCTGATTTGAATGGTACTGCATCATGCACTAATCCACTATGCAAGTGGCAGATGAGGGCAGTATTTATGTTCTGTGCAGCAGATGATTGCAGTTTTTACTAAAATTTGTGTGCAACATGCATTGTACAAGTAGCAGATGTGGGCAGTATATAATATATACTTGTCTTTGTGTATGCTTGTGTCTTGACACACAAGTCATCATGTTGAAAAAATGTGCAATCAAAATTATTATGTGATGTTTGGTTGAACATACAAGGTGAAGATAATATATGTTCTAGGGTTCAGGATATGTGTATGGGATGTAAGGGAAGGAGCTATTGAGATCAAGCATTTAAAATACATGTTCCAAGGCTCATACTGTGTGGAAGTTGTTATATACAAAGATGTTTGGTGGACCAATGAACTGCCAGATATATTAGTATGTTGCCATTTGTGTTTGTATGCCCAAGAAGGGCAGAACCAAATGCTTATAATTAGGTGCTAAAATAAACTGTGACAAGATAGGGGAGTACTGTAATTGTGATACTGTAGGGTTTCTTAGTGTGTGCAGGATGATTTTGGTCTGACCTTAATATTTTATGATAGAGATGAGACTGATCAGATATCTGGAATCAAGTTCAATCTACCACATACATCAGCTCCTATTATTTCTTTACCTTTAGCCTCAGTGATAGGTCTGTAGATTTTTTTTCTTTCTGTGCATAACCTACATACAAAGTCTTGCACACAACAAGAAGAGTTTTATATATAGTTATGAACAAATTCTGAAACATGACAACATATTAGCTTTTAAAGATTTATTTTTGATACCTTCATACCCAATTTCAATTAATATAATCAGCAATTTCATTATTATTAGTGTGGAAATTCATTGATTATTGTTAAATATAAAGGATTACTGAAATCTTGTTTTTATTAATTATTCAACAACAAAGCTTTTTTGATACAGTTTTTTTTTTATGATTTGATTTTGTTATTACTTTTAAATGTTCTACATAATTATAAATGCTAAAGAATCATTGACTAGCATTTCCAGCTGTAATATATTAATGCTTTCACTAGTCATTCCAATTTATTATGGTTCAGAGGTACCAGTGCAAGATGTCAACCCTTAAATTCAGTGGTTCAAATCTTCTACCGTTAATTAAAATTAATAAATTTTCAGGAATTTGTGTAGAACCTATCTCTCAGTTAACAGAATGTCTGCTTAAGACAGTGGAGTGTTCTATATTGTTTCAGGCACAACTGTGGTACAACCTGCCAGGTTATATCAAAACATTGCAAACATTATAACCTTTTGCACATGCACAAAAAACTGTTAGGTCAACCTCTCATTCAACTTTTGCCAATTGAATTTGCTTTTTTAAATGTTTTTCCCTCACAAATATACCTTCATTATTTTGCAGTTTTTGTCTTTTAGATACAGTAATTTGTCTTGTATGATAGTTAGATACCTCTAGCCATAGTATTTTGATGTTGATCTTTAGCTTAAAATTCCTGGAGAATGGTATTGTGGTGTTGATTCTCTACTTAAGCAATCCTGGTTTGTTTTTGGCTATTTTTCATTTTTATTTCCTTTTTCCTTTCAGGTATTTATAAATCTTGTAAAGCTATGTAAGTGTATTATTTATAGAGGTTGTGACGTCTGGTGGAATATTTACTCAGAGAATGGAGTATATGTCTTAACAAAGCTGTTTATTCCAATAATTGAGGTCATAATGTTAATTGCATTCAGGTACTTTTATTGTTATAAGTTTGCGCAGGCCACTTGTATACCAGATACTGGTATTAAATGTGTTTTGAGGAAACCTTATTTTCAAGTAATTGTGTTAGAATATACAGTATTTTATACTCTACTTTTAATGAAAACAATTATGAGCAATGAATAAAGATTATGTCTTACCACAATGCATTATAGGATATACATCTACATATAATGCATTATGGGTAAGGTAGTAGAAAAAACTTTAATTTCCTGAATTGACGGAACTTAATTACATACATAAATTAGTTAATTGACATGATTGAAAGCAATACAGTAATACATTTTAAAACATCTTGGTCATATTTTAATGCCATGTTTTATAAAGCATCTTAAAACTGAAACGTGTTTTGAACTTGTACAATATTATTAAGACACTTTTTTGCCAAAATAACTAAATAATTAGGTAGTTGTCATACTTTGGTAAAGTAATAGCCTGTTCTGGTTGGAGCTATGCAAAATAGTGCTTTTGATTGTAAATAAGAGTTAGATTAATTGCATAATATTGTAAATTTAAATACAGATAGATTAAGAATAAATATATTTGTGTATGGCTTCACAATGGCAGGTGTTATATGAATTAGTAGTGGGGTGGTATCCTTTTAATTACTGTATATGAATTCATATATTCAAGACTACAGTATGGTATAAAATTGAGTCAAATAGGTGTAACATTTTCCCAAATGAAGTTCTTGCTTAGGTTCAGCCAGCTGAAGCTTAAATCAGCAACAATAAACTTAGTTTTAAGTCATGACTTCACCACTGAATAGAACTTTTGCAATATCACTTAAGTTAAAGTAATTACTTACAATGTTATTCTGCTTCTGAAGCTTTGACAAGACCTACTTCCGCAAAGAGACACGCGACCATGACAAAACAAGGCGGGTCACACACTGCGTTGTCAGGCAACGCTATTCTATAGAGAACACAATATGACGACATGTTCATGGTTATTTTTAACGATGATTATCTCGGACGGTGTGATGTGGAGCGCTCACAGAAAATGTGTCACCCTACTGTTTTACGATGCAGTGTGTGTCCCTGCTTAAATCACACATTGCTGTACATAAGCTGTGTTGATTTTTACTGCATGCTATCTTTTTAATCTTGACGCAAGCAGTATTTGTATTTAAACCTTTTTTGTTACAATTTTTAAAGTATTCTCATACTGATTTGTTTCTAGTTCAAAAGAAAATTCAGTGGATCGACACTGCAATTTTTATTATAAAAAACTGTTGGTTTAAGTCTAGTTACAGATGTAGTAGGACAAATACACTTTACATTGTCAAACTCTGGCGGAAATATACTGCCCTCTAGAATCTCCTGGGATGCTGTTGATCCAAATCAGAGGACACAAACATGCCTTGTGTTAAGTTTTTCCATATTTGTTATTGCTATTGTATATATTACCATTGTAATTTAAGTATGAGATTTTATGTTTCATGTAAGTACCTATATATATTTATTTCACCCATAATGCTTTCTATAAATCCCTTTTTATTTTGTTCTTAAAAATACCTATACCTGTTTATTAAAATGATTTAAAAACTTACTTATCTCCACTCTTCTGTGATATGCCATCAACCAATATTTTATACAAATCTTTTTAGGAAAGTTGGAATTTACAGGTAATATATATATATATATATATATAAGATGTGTATAAGAGACAGCCTCTAGCCATAGTATTTTGATGTTGATCTTTAGCTTAAAATTCCTGGAGAATGGTATTGTGGTGTTGATTCTCTACTTAAGCAATCCTGGTTTGTTTTTGGCTATTTTTCATTTTTATTTCCTTTTTCCTTTCAGGTATTTATAAATCTTGTAAAGCTATGTAAGTGTATTATTTATAGAGGTTGTGACGTCTGGTGGAATATTTACTCAGAGAATGGAGTATATGTCTTAACAAAGCTGTTTATTCCAATAATTGAGGTCATAATGTTAATTGCATTCAGGTACTTTTATTGTTATAAGTTTGCGCAGGCCACTTGTATACCAGATACTGGTATTAAATGTGTTTTGAGGAAACCTTATTTTCAAGTAAGGTCATGTAATAGTGTCATCCTGAAAAAAATTACTGTATTAAGTTTACCAAAATTGGCCAGATGTGATAGTAGTAGTGGTAGTGGTAATCACCCATGTCCTCTATAACCTAAAGTGAAATCTAACAAAACTCCTTCACAAAAGGCCAATGGAGAAGGGAACATCCCATTCCTCTCCACTCGGACCATAAGTCCATGATTGGAGCCCCCCCCCCCCTCGCCAGCATCTCCCTCCCATCAAGACCTGATTTTTAGATTGAAATGACCACTTTGTGATTCCCATAAATGTATTTGTAAGGCGCGGCACCCATAAAATGTAATGGAACATATGGTTACAAATGCTGGCTCAATTTTAATGACATTAGCCTACTGGTGAGAATATCATATGTGATAATTAATTGCTATGTTATAATGATCAAGTGACGTACTGCCAGATAAGATGAATAATTTATATGTATAATAAAATTAAAATGTGAATGAAATTTCATTGTTTACTTTATCGTATTTTGATAGTTGATTGCTAATGCTGGGATACAGTGGATAGCGCACATCTTAGTAACTCAAGACTTTAATTTAGTACTATAAACCTTCTGCCGGCCTTATGTCAACTTGGCCAAAACCAGCGCGCCTTAAACCGAACCCCAAATCACTTCATCTTATAATTATTAAGCAAAAATTTCTGATCGAATTTAAAAGAATTTATATTATTTGATTTATTTAAAAATAATGTTCAATTCAATTGTTTGCTTTATTAGGTCCTTGCGGAAAATATTTCGAGTGTATACATGTACATAGCAACATTAAAAAATACACAATACAAAAAAATATTAAAAGTACAATAACATAAGAAACATGTAAGAATCAAAAAAGGCAAAAAAATATATATATACATACTTGTATGATACTGTATTCAGTGCGTTACAGCTATAAGCTCTCACTGGCTAAAGCCAGGGGACCCAGAGCCTCAAGGGCCCCTCCCCCAGCAAATTCAAGTACTTTTTTTTGCAAACAATAACCAAGGCCCTTTTCCAAGCCAAAGTTTACTGAGTGATTGGGGCATTTTTATTATCATTACTATCGCCAGTCTACGTTTTGTTAAAATAAATGTCCAAAAAAAATATACTGATTTTAATTGGCTAGTTTTTTTTCTCTCTCTCCCCCACCCTCCCTCCCTCCCTCCCTTTCTCTCTCTCTCTCGCTCTCCCTCTCTCTTGTGGAATCGTATTACTTTTATTTCATCATAATGACATACCTACATATATATATATATATTCACATATACATTTTAACCGTTATTACATATTAAGTAATAATAGTATGAAATTAATCTATTTCTTTTACATAATTACTTAGTACATCTCTTTACTGTCCTTAATATGTGTTCAGACGTGACTGTTGTATCCTTTATTATTATTATTTCTATTATTTTTTTTTTCCTTAGGAGTCACCTATCTTTATTGGAATTAAAAATTCACATGTAATTAGTCTGTTTATCTTTATAAATACAGGAGGTCAAAATTGAAATCATTTCGTTTAATCTTTCACATGATCGCAGCATAGTGTGTAATTTCGTCCAACATGCTTCTATATCTTGGCATTTAAATAGCATGTGCTTTTCATTTTTGAGTAACATTACAGTACCCACATAAATTGGTTGCCTTCGCGGCCCTATATGTATTCAATGAAGCGTGTTTTTTTTTTTCGTTTTTTTTTTCGTAATTTCCGTTTTGAAGTCACGGTTTTATTGAACTTTTCCCTTTGAACTCTCGATACGGGTACACAAATAATGGTGGCATAATTGTTCCAGTGAATCCTGTTTAGGTTGAAAAATAATGGTGTTCCTTTATAGTCGGGCTAATAAACCGTATCATGGCTTCTGAATCAACAACACGCGTTATTCTCTGGTCGGCACCTCGATGTATGTCTACTGCGTTTATGCGTTCGATTAATACACTCGATGATTCTGTGGTTTTTCATGAAAACTTTACAGCTGCTTACCTATTTGGACCTGAAGGAAATGGCAAGAAATTATTTAGTCTTGCTCCTTACTATACATATGACTATGTGAAAGCCTTACTTGAACAGGAAATACCAAACAAAGAGGTCATTTTTGTAAAGGATTTCCCTTTTGCACTGAAAGGAAATTTTGAAAAGATTCCGGACGGATATGTTCACACTTTTTTAATCCGGAATCCAACAAAAGTGTTCATGTCGATACGTGACCAGTACAACACGTGGATCAAGAGACTTTACTTAGGTAAAGAAATCCAAACGTACCAACCCGCATCTCGAAAGTTTTTTGAGGACCTCTGGAAGCTGTATGTTTACGTCAAAGATAATCTCAAGAAGCCTGCCCTCATTATTGATGTTGATGACTTCTTGCGAGATCCTGAGGCGATGATGAAAATTTATTGTCAATCAACTGGTATACCATTCCGAAAGTCGATGTTGTCCTGGGAACCATGTAGCGTGTGGAAAATGGATTGGCATTGTAGCACCGTTTTGAAATTTTGCGGTTGGTGGAATGGTTGGTATGATAAAATGTTGAATAGCAATGGATTTGGAAAATCAAAAATGCGGACCACTATTCCAGATGTTACGATGTTGCCAAAAGACGTCAGAGACGTTGTGGAGATCAGTGAACCATATTATAAATTGATGTATGACAAAAGAATAAAATGTTGATTTGTTGTCAGAAAGCTGTAACCTTCGCTTTTAGGCCTAGGCTATGGACAGCCAGAGCTGACTTGTACATTTTACGATGAATACATTTTCCTTGATGTAGCTGTAGGAATTTGTCATAATGTCACCTATCAGTGCCAGAGAAAACGTTCAGTATTTCTTCAAACAGCTATTTAAGAAAATAATGAATATTATTAATGTTTATGAATACTCATTATTATTTCCTATTGTATAACCTCGGGTACAGAATTCAAGTTTTCTGTGCCCAAGTTGGTTCGATATTCTCGTCGCCAATGCCGTATATTGCATATACTGCAATCGTATTAAAAACAAACCACAATAAGTAGGGCAATAAACAATATTACAGCTCAGTTCATTTATGTGTTTATTTCAATTACTGTATTCTGATTCAACATGTCGACATTCGACATGATCATAGATCGACTTTAGTAGGCTAAAGTTTTCTGTGCCCAAGTTGGTTCGATATTCTCGTCGCCAATGCCGTATATTGCATATACTGCAATCGTATTAAAAACAAACCTCATTAAGTAGGGCAATAAACAATATTACAGCTCAGTTCATTTATGTGTTTATTTCAATTACTGTATTCTGATTCAACATGTCGACATTCGACATGATCATAGATCGACTTTAGTGGGCTAAAGCAATACCCTATTTACATTGTTTTGAATAAAGAATAATACTATACTGAGTTCATTTGGATCCCATTTATTAAAAGCGTCAAATATGCAGTAATAGAATATAACGAGAAGGAGTTTGAATTCAGATTGTGAAACCGGTCACTATCTATTCATTTATTTGAAGATTTTCCAAGTTCGTATAAATAACAATCTTATCTTTAACAGGTCAAAGTCATTGTAGTCCCTGTACAGATATTCAACCTCCAAAAACAAACACGCGACAATGAAGTTTATTTACGATTCGTAAGCTTTGGCCATCACTTTTATCTATGACCTTTTCAAAACAATATTTGCGACCAATAAGAATCGGTAATATGATATGATATCAAATTACCTTTAATCGCGAGCTTATGTTCATGACCACGTGACCCCAATGGTAAATCGACGACACCCACTTGCAAATATACTGGAACTCGTCAATCACCAAACAAAGGTTAAGATTAAAAGAAACTCATTTGACACATTTTGGATTATGGCTTCTGGAACATCTTCACCACTTCGTGTCATCGTTTGGTCTGCACCCCGTTGCATGTCCACTGCGTTCACACGTTCCATCATGACCCTTGATGAATCAGAGGTCCTCCACGAGAACTTTGCAGCTGCATATTTCCTTGGACCTGAACGACCACTCCGATTAGGACGTAAAGGGCTTTGTCTTGCACCTTACTATACATATGACTACGTGAAGACCATGTTTGAACAAGATGTACCAGGTAAAAAAGTCATTTTTGCGAAGGACTTTCCATTTGCATTACAAGGAAAATATGATAAACTTCCCGAGAACTATGTCCATACTTTTTTGATTCGAAATCCAACAAAAGTGTTCATGTCGATACGAGACCGATACAACACGTGGTTCAGACAACTGTATTTTGGAACCGAAATACAGACGTATCAGCCTGAATGTCATCAGTTTTTTGAGGAAATCTGGAAACTGTACGACCACTTGAAGAACAAGCTTATGAAACCTGTCATTGTAATTGATGTCGACGACTTTCTAAAGGATCCAGAAGCAATGATGAAGATTTATTGTCAGGCAACTGGTATACCTTTTCGAAGATCGATGTTGTCATGGAAACCTCGTGGTATACGACAGATGGACTGGCAATGTAGCAGTATTTTAAATATTTGTGCATGGCTACTTGGTTGGTACGATAACGCGTTAAATAGTAATGGCTTCCGAAAATCAAGAAGTCCGACCAGGATTCCAAAGAAGTCAATGTTGCCGCCAGACATCAGGAAGGCTGTGGAAATCAGTGAACCGTACTATAAGTTGTTGTATGACGAAAGAACTACAGTATAAATAAATTTGTCCTGTGTTATTATAAATGGGTCTTCCTATAGATATCAGTGGCAGATTCAACCCCCCCCCCCACACTTCCCCCGTAAATTTCACCATTTTTTTAATTAAAAAAAAAGGAGAATTTTAATAAAATTTAGGTCAGAGAGTCCTATATCCGGCCATCTGGACGTGCCATAATCACTTAATAAAACTTTTCTTACCTCAGCCCTAATCATGGTGGGTTCAGGTGGTCTTGGCTCTTTGCGAAGGTCCCTCCCTGGGCCCCCTCTAATTCAATTTCCTAGATCCGCCAGTGGATATTATATTTGCTATTTGATAATCTGTTATAAAGATAATAAAATGGAAATATATCCTTTTGGGACGTTTAGATTTAAAAACCTTAAATATCATACAGATATGATGACTATCGATGTGTGGCTGTGGAGATGATTAAAAGTGATAACAACTAACAGTTGAAAACGTTGTTGTTTGTGTCTTCTCATTTTATATGAATTGTATATTCCAAGACATCCATTTGTTTTGCAATATTTATACAAAATCTTGAATCTTGGTGGTTAGATACCGGTACGTATTTTACATTTTAGTAGATAACATGTACTATGTTCACGTGACGCTTGTCCTGAGTGATTGGCTCTGAGATTTTATGTTTTTTTTCATTGGCCAGTATTTAAAAATTATATTACATTAGTATATACTTTGATTGCACATTTTAGGAATAATTTTGTGTAATGTTATTCCTTCTCCTACATGACTGGAAAGCAGATGCCAATTTGGTCTGAAGAATCCCTTTCAATTCCATACTTGGAACCAATTATATCACCCATAATACGCCTGCCGTGTCTGGCCGGGCATCTATGTCTACCTATGCTACAACCTAGTCTATTGGAAGTAAATAGGTTTTAACAACTTAACAACTGACCAATAAGAACAGGACCTGGAACCCGAGCGTGTCAAGCACATGTTTTGTCCCACAAACGCGTGATGTCGTTTGCGTATATTTTAACACGGTCGTTTTGTTGGACCTTATCAACGATATCCAAGGCCGGGGAGGGCTTAGTGGAAAGGTCTATTCAGCATTGCTGATTTACTTACAGTATAGTATATTTTAAGTTTCTATTGTTATTAATACAATATGCAACCAGTTCATGGCCAAAAGCACAAAGCTTTAAATTTTAATAAAAGGTTAATAATTTCGTTTTAAAGCAATCGCATTGTTTTTATATTTTTACTTTCACATCTACTCTTATAGTCTAACAATTGGTGTGCATAATCATGAGTGTGCGAGTGAATGTATTTTTATGCTGAGATAAATACAGCTTTTACTCTCGGCCAATTTTATTATTATGGCTTCTGAATCCACAGCAACACGCGTGTTTCTCTGGGCAGCACCTCGATGTATGTCCACTGCGTTCATGCGTTCGATAAATACACTCGATGAGTCCGTGGTTTTGTTCGAAAACTTTACAGCTGCATATTTATTTGGACCTGAAGGAAATGAGAAAGCACTGTTTAGTCCTGCTCGTATGTATACATATGATTACGTAAAAGCCTTACTTCAACAAGAAATACCAGACAAGGAGGTCATTTTTGCAAAGGATTTTCCTTTTGCACTGAAAGGGAAGTTTGAAAAGATTCCAGACGGATATGTTCACACTTTTTTAATCCGGGATCCAACGAAAGTGTTCATGTCACTACGTGACCAGTATAACACATGGTTCAAGAGATTTTACTATGGTAAGGAGATCCAGACTTACCAACCGGTATCTCACAAGTATTTTGAGGAACTCTGGAAGCTTTATGCGCACATCAAAGATGATCTCAAGAAACCTACCCTCATTATTGATGTTGATGACTTCTTGCAAGATCCAGAAGGGATGATGAAGATTTATTGTCAATCAACTGGTATATCATTTCGAAAATCGATGTTGTCATGGGAACCTTGTGGTATATGGAATGTGGACTGGAAATGTAGCGCCTTTTTGAAATATTGCGGGTGGTGGAATGGTTGGTATAGGAACGCTTTGAATAGCAATGGATTTGGAAATTTCAATAATAGACGGAAAAGTACTCTCGATGTTGCAATGCTGCCACCAGACATCCGGAAAGTTGTAGAAATCAGTGAACCATATTATAAATTACTGTATGATGAGAGATTAACAAACTGATATTTTTTTTTGTCATCAGAGTTATAACTTTCGCTTTTATAATTTCGCTTTTATAATGACAAAGCTGGCTTGATGTATATGTCAACCTGGACTGTTTGTCTAAACCGTTAATTTGTTCGTATTATAGGGATACTAATTTTTAATGTAGTTTTGTTTAACTTTACCTTGTGATCTTTGTCGATGTATTTTAACAAAATCCAATATAGGCCTATTCTATGTTTGTAGATTAGGCTTTTATCATTTTTGAAATTAAATATCTTTATATTAATTTAAAGAGCGGCAATTTTAAAAACAGACTGTTACATCTTGTCTGAAATTGTATCCTGTATAAATATATTTTAAATTAAAAGAAATAAATAAATAACGCACGAACAAAAGGTTCGCCACTAGCTGGCTTGTTCTTTTGAGGACCGTCGTAATTCTTTTTTTAATGACTTAGATGTATATAATTCTTGTTTGTTTTCATAAAATTTATCAACTTTCGATATTATCTGGATTGTACGTGAACACGAACCTACCGAATCTTTGTTTGTAATATATATTGCACTCCAATTCCAAAACATCGAATTTGCAATTAACAAAAACAAGTAATTAACAAAATTCAGTATACAATAACATGAGAAAGGAATGCAGGGGATAGCTCTACAAGCCCTGTTTATAGGATCTTTGGTTGATAATGATAACGGTCATGACGATTACACAAAATAAAGTGTTTGCACATAACCGAAGATACTAACGGCGTTCCATAGCTTTTCATTTCATTTATTCGTCTCAAAACATTAAAATTGACAATAAAGGAACATCAAAGAACAAGCACAGACAATTATGAGACAGGACATCCCAAAAGTGAACTTAATCACTGGGGGCCCACAAGAAACAACCAAATGCTTACAGAATATACATTTTATAAAAATATATAAACAATAAAAATTAAAAATTTAAGAAGTTCAATAGTAAAAAAGGCATAATTTAAAAGATTAAAAATATTAAAATTTTCAGATGATTCAATAAAAGTTACTTTAAAATTCAGATTTAAAATGCTAAGGTATATTAAAAAAAACATAAGCAAAGCTCTTCATAGTCAGTCGGCTAACAGAAAAGAAAGTTAACAATTGTAAAAATTCTATAGTAAAATAACCATAATTTTAAAGTTTGGCATTTAAAACATTTTTCAGATGATTCAGTAAAATTTACTTTAAAATTTCAAATTGCAAATGATAAAATGAATATAAAATATGTCCGAACAATTAATGAGCTCATCATACACCAAAGATAATAGAGATTCGCAAAGAGGGCGCCTTTTTTGTAATGAGCTGAATCAAAGAACTGTCTATTCTTTGGCTGAATGTACGACGCCTTGTTTAACATTATTTGCAAAGTTCTCTTTGACCTTATAGCGTGTAATGAAATGAGTTGAAGCGTTGCTTGCGGTCTGGAGAAAACAGTTCGATAAATATCATACATATTACTGAAGATAAATATTTTACCGTGAGTGTTACACAAAATATCATTAAATTATTAATTACTATCGACCCTACCCTAGAACTATTACTACTGACTGTAGGTACGCTAGTACGGAGAGGAAACCTACGACAATGTGCTAATGTTATAGATAGGCCTAAGCCCAGCGATATACGGTGTTAGACCGGTTCGGCCGCGATATACCTGTATGGAACGCCAAGTAGACGCAAAACTGTGTATGCTGTATGTGTGTGTGTGTGGTTAATCTATTGCTGCTTCCTGCTACTGTCCATGGGCGTTGATCGGTGGGGGACACGTCCTCCCCCACTTTGTACCAATCTTCTATAGTTAAAACCCCACTTTTCAAAGCGAGTGGAAAGAACAACAATTACAAATGCCTGTCATGAATTTTGTCTATTCACTTGTGCTTGTTCCAAGTGCGGTGCGTATATTCAGACCAGTGTTGAGTAAAAACCCAATTATTTGTACATTTCGTAACCATCTCAGTAAACACTCCATTGATTTTTTTATGGGTGCAACGGTTATCAGAGGCTAAATTTATTAAACAATTATTTTATACAGCCTTTGACAAGGATAGGTCTGTGTATTTCACCTTATTTAAGTAAGTAAATAACCTTTTATGTTTGTGAAATGGGCCTAGATTTGGGCCTAGATTTCTAACCTTAATAATTTTGCATTCTGTTTTGCCGACTAGGTCTATGTATTGCCCACAAATTTTAGCGATTTTATCAATCAAATTAGAAAAACTATCGGGGCAAACAGCAAAGAAATATTACCGATGACCTATTGTGTGATATAGGCCTATAACATTTTGACTTTTGCATTACCAAACACAAGGGTAACTTTCTTAGGCCAAGATGTCCTGTATGAGCGTCCATCGGCTTATTATTTTCAAACAATTTCTAATTCATGAAGGGGTCCACCCCCTCCAAAACCCTCTCTCGGCTCGCACCTGCAGCGCTCTGATGGTGCTACACGTCACAGTACACCTCTTTTCCTGTGCCTTCAAATGTATTCCTCAGGGGCGGATCCAGAGATGTCCAAAAGGGGGGGGGCCGAAATTTAGGCCGATCGACACAACAATGTCCTAGGGGGTCTGGGGGCATGCCCCTGCGAAATTTTTGTGTTCTAGACGCCCGAAAATAACATTTGAGGCGTTGTGGGCTATCATTTTTTTCTTTTTTTCCCCCTTTTTTTCCCTCCCAAAAGGGGGAGGGCGAGCCCCCCCTAAATCCGCCCCTGTTCCTTGAACAATTTTGGCCCCCAATTGCGATGAGTTGAGAACCACTGGACTATAGAATTGGAGTGACTGTTTTTCCACGAAGGAACAAGGTTTATCATTTGCTTTTCATGGTTCGAATACGTCACAAGATCAGTAGATAATAAATCATTATTTTTATGAATGTTTGTTTGCACGAAATATGTAAGCGGTCATGATTATGATTATCAGGATAATTTGAAAAAAATAATGATAAGTATTTCTATGGCAGATTCAAGGGGCCCAGCCAGCCCACCCTGCCTATTTTTTTCAAAATTTAAAAGTGGAGAAAAAGGAAAATTATATTTAAATTAAGTCTGAGCAAGGAACAGTTAAATTAGGCCTACTAGTTTAACTGTTCCCTGGTCTGAGAGTGCCATTTCCGGCCAACTAGAGGTGCTATAATCATAAAATTTTCCCCCACTGTATTTGAAAATGTAGTGTGGATATAAATTTTAATTGCATTCCTTAAAATCAATTACATACGACTTATAAAAGCCATAGACGCCAGAGCTTCCGGGGGCTTCGCCACCTGGACCCCCACCGGGGGGAACTAGGTGGCCCCCCTGGCCCCAACCAGGACTTCCTTATTTTGCAATTCGTCCCCCCCCCCACTTTTCGCAAAGGATTAACGCCCATGACTGTATCTAGTATTTGTGTTGTATTATCAGGTATTTATGCTGCAAAATAATTATATGGAATGTGGCTTTAATTTAAGCAATTCAATGACATTAATAGGCCTACTGCGATGAGTTTGCGAACAAAAGATAATGGATTTTATTAGGTTCGTGTAAGTTAATAATAAGGTTTTAAGATTCATATATTTCATTTTATCTATTTGAAACAAACGAACAATGGATTTTATTAGGTTCGTGTAAGTTAATAATAATGTTTTAAGATTCATATATTTCTTTTTATCTATTTGAAACAAACGAACAGTGGATTGTATTAGGTTCGTGTAAGTTAATAATTATGTTTTGAGGTTCATTTATTTCGTTTTATCTATTTGAAACAAACAAATTTATATGTTGATAATAAAACCAAAGGATTTTATTATTTTCATATTACCGTGTCGATGCATATTATTGAAGAATAAGAATGTTGATAATATTAATATACACGTACTGCCAAATCAGTACAGCACAACTCCTACCACAGCCGAAACCTATTGTACATGTAGACCAGCACCAAGACAAACAACCCATTGTGCACTCATTGTGGGTGGCTTTTGACAGGGGTGGCATTTCACAGAGGTGGCTCTCTTCCGATTTCCCTCAATTGCATAATTAAGAGAAGCTATGATGTTTTGCATTTAAAGTACTAAATGTTTATGCCTAGGTAGGCTATACCCAGTTTCTAATTCATACACAAAAGAATAAAATAGGTCTGATACAAACAACTCTTACCACAGCCGAAACATATTGTAGACTAACATCACAAATATCTCATTGTGCACCCCACCTTACAATGGTATGATCCATTGTTGGGTGGCTTTTGACACGGGGGGAGGGGGCTCTCATCCGATTTCCATATGGCTCTATAAATATAAAATAGGAATATTCAAGAAGAAAAACTGTCCATTTAGGGGGTGAACAATTTCTGTGGTAACCTGTGGGCCCGGTCAGTTTCTAGTGTTAGTTGTGGTGATGTCCAGGGTAGTGGTGATGGTAAAGGTTACAGTGAGCAAATTATGGATGCTTATATTATTTGCTCACTGTCACCATTATTTTTGATCAGTAAGCCTATAATAATAATTGATTATGTTTTTCATTAATCTTGCTGATAAAGGCTATCTAGTCTTCTATTGAAGTTGTTGAATTTTTTCTATATGCTGTAAGAACGCGTGTGGAACATAGACAGCAGAAGGTACCAAGTTCGAATCCCGGCTAGGGCACCTTTTTTTTTCAAATTCACAGATGATGATAATAATAATAATAGATGGATTTATATAGCACAAATAAACGAGGTCTCTACGCGCTAGACAATAATGAAGTCAAGAACACAAAAAAAAAACAAGCCGGAAAAAAAACAAAACAAAACAAAAAATACCAAGCCTTCCTCTTTAATATTTGAAATTTATTTATACAGCATTACTCCAAGATGTTTTAGATTTTATCTCTTATCATATCATTTATATGATACTATAATATTGTAATTCAATAGAAGTTCTGTATCATGACAAAATTCATTTACTAATTTCTAGAGAACTGTGAGCGACATGTTTATCCAGATTTTCATTGGCCTGTGTGTTGTCTGCTTTCTTCTCTACCTTTTTACTCGGTCTGTTGTACCTGTGTCAGGGGATATAGCTTTCAGGAGGTTTCAATGGACATATATGGCTGTATACCTGCTTGCAATGAGTATGTACACTATTGGATCAATTATTTAATTAGCAGATATTTAAAAAAGTGGGAGGGAGATTGGAAATGAAGAGGGGATAGGATAGAATATGGGAAGAAGAAAGGATGTTGGAGAGGAGATGGAGAAGAAAGAGAAAAGAGGGATGGGAGAGGGATCGGAAGATAAGGAGGGTAGTATTGGTGACCGTTTTGTAGGTTTAAGTAACAAATTTATGTCAGAGAAATTGTAGTCGACAAAACTTAACACAAAAAATAACTTTTTACTTGTTAGATAAACAGTAAATTTGTGTTAATTAATAATTGCTATGTGAAATTGGAGATGACGTACTGTAGGGGGTGGTTTAACTTTATTCACTTTTTTTCATTATAATTTATTCATTAAATCCTAGTGGCTGATTGGATGCAAGGTCCATACATGTATGCCCTCTATGCAAAATATGAAATGACAACATCTCAAATCCAACAACTTTTTGTCGGAGGCTTCGGGGCTAGCATGCTTTTTGGAACATTTGTTGGTTCAGTTGCAGACAAGTAGTAAGTATAAGTATATTCTCTTTATTAACGTTTAAATCTGTGTTCATACTAGTTTTATGTGATAGCGTGTGTGTTGCCATATATGGGTGTGATATGACATCATCATGCCCATATATGTGCAAATCAAACAAATTTTTCACATGTAACTAGACTTGACACAAGTCCCATGTTATAGTTTTCCTTTATTCCAGACAGCGCCGCCAATGAGCGAATAAAGTTGAGTTTTAACGAAAAATGAAATCAAGTATGGGACACCAATTAAATTCGGTATGGCGTGCACTAAGTGCAAAAGAGTGAGTAACCCCAATTTAGGTCCTAGAACCCAGGCTAATGTAACATGATAGTTTGGACAGGCTGTGATGGTTTTATACACACATTAGTGATTTATTAATTATGTATTAGTGATTTATTAATTATTTATTTCAACAGTATTTTTGGATTCAATCCAGCCAAAGCAGTTTAGCAATGTTTATGTTTACATGTAAAATTATTTAGATCTCCACTACTATTGAGTTTAAGCATGGAGCTTAAAATTAGTTTTATAGCTCCATGGTATAAGTCATTCAGCTAAATTTGACCGTTAGCCTATGCACAGATTGTAACTTGAGTGTATACTTCCTTATGAATGCTACAGATTTATAAATTATAAATAAAGCTGCCTTCAAAATCCACCATAATTAACATAATGATATATTTATTTCCTCCAAAATTGATCAAAAACAAACAAAAGAAGAGGAGGACCAGATCTTAGTAAAATAAAAATGTTCAATCTGTTATTATAATTTAAATGATGTGAATGTTTGGCTTCCTGCTGTAGATCTAATACTCATAGTGCCATTAATGTTATTAGATATTTCATGAATAATAAATGAACACCAACATAGATGAGCTTTTATATGAATAACAATTATATTCTATTTATAGTACAGTTATGCTGTAGTACTAATCAATAGAATATTAGACCCACCATTTGCAAATTTCCCCCAAGATGTATTTAAAAAAAATATATGCATACACATATACTGAGCAGATTTTCTCAAGAACTTCCATAATTGCTATGAAATTTTTTCCTAATTACGATTGTACAGATATATACAAAAATACTACGGAAATTTATCATAGGCGTACAGTAGGCCCATAAAATAATTAATACTGTAGGTCTATAAACAACAAATGACTTGTTCACCAGGATCTTTGGTTACATATTATCTGCCAACTCATACTTGTCTGATTACTGATGAATTAAGAGAGCTACTGTAGCAGCTTAGCTCTGTTTGCTAATCTGGTGTTAGCCACTGTGTGTGCGCTGAACCGCGGAGATGTCTAGTTCCCCGTTTCAATTCACATCGCTGCCTCTCCTTGTGTTTCAGCTGGAGGGCTGAAATACAACTTAAAATAGCGCACCGTCTTTTAGATGAGACATTTTAGCCGTTGGTCCCGTGTGCATTTATGGCTCATGTGCATGTTAAAGAATGCAGCATACTCTTCCGAGTAGGGGATTGTCTCCTGGTGTACTGCCCAATCACCACCAGAAGGACCCCACTGGAAATAAGTCTTCTTCTAGACTTTCGTGGGCTGTCCTTGGTGTAAATCCAATCCAATCAAATTCAATTGTGAAAACTAAAGCTCGCCGTCATATGGTCAGTTTTTGTCTTCAAATATCCATACAGGGTAGAAATGATGGGGTGTACCTCATTTGAGTCCCAAGTCTGTGATTTTAATGTGACCTTTGCTTTAACCTGTGGTCCCCTTGGGTATCCACAGTGATGGAAAAAGAACTGGAAATGCTCTATTTCCTTTATATTTTGGGGATATTTGGGATTCTGGAAATCATCAGCCAAACACATGCACAGAAAGCATAGAAAGAAATGGAATTACCTAAATATATCCTTATTAGTATACCATGATTTAGATTGTCCCTAAAATTCCTATGAGTTGAAAAAGTAATAGTCTGTCTAGGGAATATCAAGTATCTACATACTCCTGTCAAAATGAAAAACTGAACTAAAATGTCTGTTACTAATTTGACCGTGTAGAACGCAAGCTTAAGAAAAAGTGGCCCATAAACCTTCATCCTGTGCTGTTTGTTTGACATTCTACAACTGTTATTATCCTGTACCTGTAATTTAAGCAACCCATATCTTGCACTCAAGACAAATTATTAAGTGCCCTGGTATTTTATACCTCCATGGTGCTACAATTTTTTTGTATTTACTACAGATATTTGAAGAATTTGTTTTACTGAAATGCATTTACTAACTTGAGAAGTCTATTACATTACTCAAATTTTTGGAAAAACCAGATCAATTCTCTTCATAAAATATGTTTTATGATTGATGAAAAAAAAAAAAAAAAATGTTGTACCTGAAAGGAATGTCACGGCTACACTGTGATATTCGATGACATGAACAGTTGTAGATTGTATCTGTTTAATAGCTAACGTAAGCACTATTGAAATAAATAGTTTCAACGTTGTAATGTTAAAAGCATTGATTATCCTCTGACATAAATGTAAATACATTTCTCTGCTATATGTTATATTCTGTGGTGTACTAAAAGTTACCTCTATTATAATGAGCCATTTTGTGATACAACTACAATTTGCAACTATCATAAGAATACTAGAGCGCTAACCGCAATGTATTCGATGTTGGAAATACGCAGAACTGTGTGTGTGTACCATCCAAGATGGCTGCCATAGATTTAGCCAATCAAATTTCGCTAAGCACCATCGTTTGCAATTGCGCCCTCAATTTACTCAGAAAGTTCAGTACTGCTAGTTACCCGTATGTTTTGAAACTCGAGCGTTGCGGTGTTTGGGTGTAATGTACATGATTTTAATTTTCATTCCTAAGATGCTCCACTTGGCCTCATTTTGGCTACAATAGTTTAATAATTTGTTATTACCATTACTCATTATCATTAATGAAATAATAGTCAGTCAGAGGGCTTATTAATATGTAATAATATGTATAATAAGCCTGAAGGTGGCGTTTTACTACGACGGCCATCTTGGATGGTACACATACATAACTCTACATTGCTACGCCATCTTGTCAGCACTCTAGTTGTTTAATACTCTATGAGAAAAATCAACACAAAATCAATGCACGAGTGATGCATCATGGGATTTATACCAGCCCACTGAAATTTATTAAATCAACTATGATCTTGTCTCTTTTTACCGTTTATATGGTAGTATCGCAATTGCAAATGTATGTTTTGTGATACTGTATAGCAAAGGGGCCACCAAGGGTAGCATATGAAAACTCTTTAACATGCAGCCAGTGCCAGAGCCTGTGGGAAAACTTTCCTTCCCCCTGGAGTGGCAGCAGATGATCCTGAATATGAAATGATCTTTCAGAATTTCAATTAAAAGGATAAATAATTTTGTAAGTTGTGATACAATCATTACTGTACATGAACTAATAAAAAATAATTTAATATTATTGTCTTCTTTCTATCTGGGAAGGGAATTTTTGTTTTGTGTTTTTAGGCATATTGAATCTGCCCCTGGCTACAGTAGGCTTAACGTATAGAATTATTGTACATATACATAGTCATTGTTTGTTTTGTGAATTATTAATAGTTTAATAGATAATAATCTATCAACAGATGTTTGATATCTCAGCTGATAATAAAATCAAAGAATAGAAGTGAGAATAAATTATAAACATTTATAAAACATTTATAAACATAAATTTTTCATTTATTCAACATTTATTCAACCATTTATAAACATGCATGGAAATTAAACTTAAATCAAGTTAAGTATTCACTTATTTAAATGCAAAGTTAAGTATCCACCTAGGGGTGGTCTAAAATATTGGTCTGATTTTTTATTGTGAAATTTGGAGTTTCCAATTTGCTTTTAAGAGAATCTTACATTTTGTTCCATTTTGCAATAAATGCACGTTCCATATGCAAGTTCAAAGTTCAAAGACAATTTTATGTGAAATTGAGATTCAGTAATTTGGAAGTGACTGAATATGAGCAGTGTACCCAGAATAAACTTTTGTAAAACATTTATGCATTATACTCTATTGTAATACATGAATTCTGTAGCAGATTTTCACTGAAGCATGCAAGAGTACAAAAAATAGGTGCACACAATTGACTTGTTCTTTTTAGGCTTTGAGTTGTATTCTTATTACGCGGTATTCCAATTTCTAAATTGTAGGCATATCGCTGTTGTATGTGAATACAAATTTAAAAAAATATAATATTTAAAATATACATTGACACTACAACTGTCATTACTCATCCTCATCATTATCATTAAATATTAATCATAATAATGTATGCTGTACAATGAAAATTAACAAGTGTGATTAATATCATACAAATGATCTCTAAGATTATTATTAAAGTCTCATTTTTTGTATTCACTGAATTTTATTTATACCTTGTTTTATTAAATGTATTTTGATATATTGGAGTGCAATAAATATTATAAACCAACGAACTGAACTACAGTATGTGTTGAGGTAAAGACATTTAACAAGGGGAAAATTCAGTAAGGGCCAGGTCACCCCTCTCCCTTTGGGAAAGTTAAAAAAAAAGAACAAGACTCAAAAAGTAATTATTGATTGCCCAAAATACTGTAATAATAATATGTCATTCTTATATAGCGCTTCATGCACAAAGCCTCTAAGCGCTTCACATTACTACCCCGGTCATTGAATCAAACACATATGGAACACATACTGAACACCAAATTAAATTATTAAATTAAATTATATTATTAATCCATAATATTGCAGCTATCAGCGCAGTTGTGTTGGAACCTACCAGGTACCCACTTGTACTCCTGGGTGGAGAGGGGCAACCGTAGATAAAGTGCCTTGCCCAAGGACACTAGCAATTTACACAGCAAGAGTTTTGAATCCCCGACCTCGAGGTTGGGAGTCCAAGCCACAACTGATGCACCAACCGCTTCTAAAAATGTCTCAGAGGTTATTTTCAGGTGTCTAGAAAACAAATATTTCCAGGGGGAATGCCCACGGACACCCCCTGCGGTGGACCCCCCTGCAGTGGACCCCCCTGCGGTGGACCCCCTGCGGTGGACCCCCTGCGGTAGCCCCTCCCAACTTTCAGATTGGATCTGCCCTGTTACTGCCCATGTCAGTGACTATCTTCATCCTAAAAAACTACCGTATGCATTAAGTAGGGATGTTGAACTCTCCTAAAAGCCTAAAGACACCACACCCCAGTTTTCTGATTGTTGTACTGTAATCATCATTCTATTTTACAATTTACACCTTGTATTCACTTGTCTTCCACAGTGGGAGGAGAAACAATTGTATTTTATACTGTATTTTGTATGGCCTATCTTGTTTCACCAAGCATTTTGCAAACTACAATATTTTGATGGTGGGACGTTTACTTGGCGGTATTGCGACATCCTTGCTTTTTAGTGCTTTTGAATCTTGGCTTGTTTGTGAGCATAAAAAGGTAATTTTAAATATATCATTTTAACCATAAACATAAGAGATAAGGTAACTGCATTTCATTTCATTTTGTATGTTTAGTCAAAACAGTAATAATACAAACAATAAAAATTACAACAAGCCTAAAATCAGAGACAGGATAAACAAAAAGCAAACTAAATTGCTGTATAAAGCTTCTCCTCTGATTTATGGTGAAATAAATATATATAAACGGTTTGGCGCAGCGTGAAAGGTTTGGTTTCCCAACCTTGAGGTCGGGGTTTCAATCCCTCGTTGTGCATTTCGCTTGTGTCCTTGAGCAAGGCACTTTATCTGCATTGCTTCTCCACCTAGGAGTATAAATAGGTACCTGGTGGGGTTGCTTGCTCCTGCGCTGAATACAGCAGCAACACTTAAGCCTGTGAATCCAATGACCAGGGACAGAAGTGCTTTGTATCTGCAAAGAAAGGCGCTATATAAATATATATGAATATGAATATCTATGTTTTCTAGATTGCCATTGCATACATATCTAACAATCTGGTATCTACATTGAAGTTTCATGTGACAAATACACAACAATATGAAATTAGCAGTGATGTTAAAAATGTTAAGAAAGTCTTTATTTAAAAAACATATTATTTCGACATTGTAATTACACTAACAGAATGTTTGTTAACAACAGTGTGGTAGTTTCTAATATAAACTACAAAATTTTGTTCAGTTAACACCATTGTGATAGTTTCTAACACAAACTACTGTATTTTTGTTTTGTGTTCCAGTTTGTAAAGTTTAATTACTGTAAGATAGTATTATACATATTCCAAGTATCGAAATGCACGCCATCTTGTCGGGATTCAATATTTCGACATTAATTATGTCATCATCATATTGAATCCCGACATCATCATCATTATCATCATCATCATTCCTGATGATGACATGTTGAAATATTGAATCCCGACACTGTTCAACTTGGAGTATGTATTATATTATCTTATCTGAGAATAATCAGTGGACCTTTCGGTAATTACTGTACGTTAGTTTAAGATATTTGGTTGTTTTTTGGTTTGTTAAGTCTTTTTTTCTTTTGATTTTCTGGTTACTTAAATTGTATGAACAACGTGGCACGTCTCCATCTACTACTTAATTGTTGTATACATGGCCTGGCAGGATAGCAACTGTTAGTTGAGCCATTCAAATAAAGCTTATTATTATGATTATTATTATTATTAACTTAATCTCATTTGTCAGGTTTTTTTGGGGGGAGGAGGGAGAAGTGAAGTGGAGTGGGGTGGGTTAGGAAGCATAGAGCAGTGATGAATAGTGGCTATTGTATCACTTGGGTGACACTATGCCTACCTGTACATTCTAATTGCCATTAGCATCAGGATAAAACTCTCAGACAATAGATACAGTAGGTGCTGTTGTTTTTGATGTTTTTCTAGTCTGCATCACTCAAATAAACATGGAGAAAATAAAATAGATCCATGAAATAACACACTTATTGAATAACCACACATTTGTATAGGCAGGAACACCTCCCTAGTATTGCCATAGCATATCAATTTTACGTTTTTTTTTGATAGAATTAAGCATCAAATATGTAGTATTCTGAACATTATGAATCATTGATTTTACTTTTTTAAAATAGGAAAAAACACTTAAAGCATGTGGACCCAATGGCCAGGGAAAAAGAAGCGCTTTGTATCTACAAAGAAAAGGCGCTATAAAAATGATATAAATAATAAAATAATGGTAATAAAATGTTTCCAATATTATTTCATGATGCAATGTTATAATAACTGGTTTATAGCCCAAAAGATGTTAAAATATGAAGTTGAATGAATTTTTGTTACTTGGAGGATGTTGTAATTAGGTTGTGATACAATGATTTTTAAAAAACTCTCCCCTTAAGAAGGGTTATTTGACCATTTGACACTCAGAGGTGTCCCTGTCCCTTTAATAGGGGTGTCACCTTAATAGGGGTTGGCTGTAGTGTTAAAAGATATGTTTGCCCTCGATTTATGGGAAAGTGTCCCCTTAATAAGGGTGTCCCAAAGGAGGGGTTCTACTGTATTATTATTATTATTATTATTATTATATTATGTTGTTTAGAGATCTTTTTTTTAGCTGTGGTCTCTATTTAGAGGTTTTGAATTCCAGACCTATCCACAAGACTATCATTCACACTTGAAGATGAGCTGTATTTGTGTACTTTAAATAAGTAGATGGAAATGACTCTTTAATGTGTCATCCTATACCACTGGTCTTTTTAATGAGCAGTGAGTGTTGAATCTCCATCGCCATCATTTTCTTTATTTTTTTTAATGTATTTTAGCGAGGATTTTCTGATGATCTGCTGAGCTCAGTTTTTACTATGGCAACAGTAGGCAACTCACTGGTGGCCATTTTGTCTGGGATTGTAGCTCAGACATTTTCGGATTTATATGGAATGGTGTAAGTATATATAATTAGAAAAAAATCTGGCACATACAGTACCTAAGGTACTGGCCGGGTTCAATCCTTTCTAGATTCACTGAAAATAATGATTGGATGGATGGATATATATTACTGCACACAGTGGTCCATTGGCAGTGACTTCAATGAAATAATTTATAAAAAAATATTTAAAACATGCAAATATTAGGAATTTGGGGGTGATGGGTTTTTTCTGGGAGAATCTTACTTGTTTGTGGGAGTGCAGAAGGTCATCTCGATTTCCGGGAGACTCCCGCAATTAACCGAGAGACTTGGGACCACTGCATATTAATAATTATAAAAAGGTAATTATAATAGTTTTGGCATTATGATAATGCCAATGATGATGGTAGGGATGCAATAATCTTTCTATTCAGTTTTCAGTGTTCAGTATATTTTATTGTCATTTGTAAAAAACATTTTTTTTTACATAGAAATACAATTGCAAGGGTCCGCTCAATAAAAAACATTTCTATTTTGATGAAAAGTGTTCAGAATAAGTGTAAATTCAACTACAGTATATCATTTAAAATCTTCACAGTGCTCCATTTGATGTCTCCCTGGTAATCCTTCTTATCCTATGCATGGCGATTGTTACCACTTGGACTGAAAATTACGGGGACTCATCAGGAAACCTGATGTCATCATTTTCCGCAGCCATCACATGTATAAAGGATGGTAATTTGATTTGTATACTTTGTATAACAACTTGATTTCTCAAAAGCATTTACACTCCCAAACAGTGGTAGTGGTGATGATAATGAGGATGTTGATGATGATGATAATGATGATGTTGATATTATGATGATAAGGATGATGAAGGTAATAATTATGATGATGGGATGAGGATGATGAGTGGACCGTTATGCTAAACCCCGCCCCTTGGATACTGTTGCTAAGGTCCAGCGTTAAAACATATGCAAACATGTGTGTTTGTGGGACAACATGTATGCTTGATAGACACGCCTGTATTTCCAGCCCTCTGTTCTGATTGGTCAGTTTCTGAGTTGATTGACAGTTCCATAATGATTTTAATAAGGATGATGTTGATGATGGGGATGATATTGAAGATGATGATTATGAGGATGATGTTGAGGTTGATGTTGCTGTTGACGATGAGGTTGTTAATGACGACATTAGCATTGTCCTCTTCAATGCTGATGATGGCAACAAATGTAATGCTGATGGTGAAGTTGGTAGTCATCATAGAGGAGGTGTTGATGATGATAATTATTTTTTCTCTTTCTCTTATTTTTCTCTCTCTCATAATTATTTGATGGCCATAATGATATTGCTAATGATTAGGATGGAAACAGTCTGTAGTAAAATTTTACATTTTTGTTTTAATGCAGAACCAGTGATGTTTTATCTTGGGCTAGTTCAGTCATTATTTGAAGGTGCAATGTACACATTTGTCTTGGAATGGACACCTGCTCTTGAACTTTCCCAGGCTACTGATCCCAATAATAAGGCATTGGATAAACCACTCATTCCACATGGATGGATTTTTGCCAGCTTTATGGTTAGTTGGAAATGGAGTAAAGAAAGGATTTAGAAATAGAGATGTGTAAAAAACTCTATATTATTCGAACAAAATTAAAGAGGTTCCCACATTGTGTTGGGCCCTTGGCCCATGGTTCCCTCTTGACTTTATTGTCAAATTTGTAATAAATAAATAAATAAATATTGTGAGAGTCTAACATTGTTGAGACTTTCCATAGATTAATGCTTCTGAGTGCCAGAGGTCATAAGAAATTTTAAACTGTCAAATCAATGGGAATGGAACTCTTCACTCTTCAATATTCTGGCTTCCCCATTGATGATTCTGGTGTAACAGAGCGGGTTAAGCTTGGCCCTATAGCTTTACCCCTTTTCATGGCTTGTAAGAGACAAAGTAAGGCCATAAAATGTTTTGCTATGAAGATTCATAATTCTCATTGTGTTAATATAAGAGTTGTGGTACATTATGACCTATGTTTTAATGTTATAATGTTGCCATTATATTTCTACCATTTCAAATTATATTATTTCTAAGACTTTATTTAGATTATATATTTTTAAATTGTATTTGAAGGTGGCTGTTATGATTGGTTCATCAGTGTTCAAACTCCTCAACAAAGTCATGGTTGTCGAGTCGTTCATGCGTTTTATACTTCTTGTGGCAATGGTGTCATTAGCTGTTCCAATTTTTGTACCAATGGTAAGAAACAGATGATATTGATTATCATTCGTGTAGAGAGATTTTGTTATGTAGCATGCCACTTCTTTTTGTAGCACTGTATGACGTACTGTACATTTGGCGTACCAGACCAGGACCAGTATACAGAAAGACATCATAAAGATTATTCAGTTTACGGTGAAAAATTTCTCTGCCCCCAAAACATCATCATTTCATCATTTCATCATTACCATGGTTGTGATCTTCATCATCATTATTACTATTATCGTCTTATGATTATCATCATCATTTTTATCATTATCATCATATTGTGCATCGTAATCATTTGCATCACCGTTATCATTTTTATCAATAAAATATTGTTCATAAATTTGTTTTAAAACATTTAATTTTTATTTTCTTCTTTGCCTGTGAATACTTTGGCAGAATTACTGTATATTGTTAAATGAGAAAACAAATGTACTGTAAAACAAGCTTTGATCAGACCTACTGTAAAACAAGCTTTGATCAGTAGGGTAAGAATGCTCTAATCTTTAGCTTATTCATAGCTATGTCACCTGCTAGAGGTAATATTTTGATTGGTTAAACACTTTGGGTACTTGTGCACATAAACTTGCAAATATGGATAATTTTTCATTCATTAAGAATGCTCATGTCCATCATTTCTGTTGTAATTTAATATAATCCAATTAATTTTATAATAATGGCTATATTTTTCTCATTTCAGAACCAGTTTGCAGTGTTTATATCATTTCTGGTATTTGAAATGTGTGTTGGTATTTTTTGGCCAGCTTCAGGTACAATGCGAAGTAAATATGTTCCTGAGAAAGGTAAATCATTGCATACAATTTCACTTGTTGTTTGTTTGGATATGTTTTTCATACAGGGACTATCTTTTTGTTGCCTAGAATTTTGTATAGAAATAATATGTTGAGAATTTACGATTTTTCCCTCTGCTGCAATTTCCTGTGAATTATTGTAGGTTAAAATTTAAAGAAATAATATTTTTAAAGAAAACTACATTTTCTTTTTATCAAAGAATGCAGCATAACACAGTTGGTTAATCAATAAAACAAAATATGTATTTAGCAACACAGGATGGAAATGATGATGATGAACGATTCAATAAAAACTGTGTTGTTTGATTTCAGCTCGTGCAACAATTATGAATTTGTTCAGGATTCCGTTAAATTTGCTCGTCATTGTTATATTACTACAGGTAAACTGATATTTTTTCAATTTAAAGCATGGAAAACTGAGCAAAATTGAAAATAATTTGTCACTAATAAGCCCTATCATAGTATGTGCATGAATATTATATATCATACATGAAATCATATAAACAAAGTTTTATATGGCTTATAGCATCATTTTCATTTTAAAATATCGTTATTAAATATTCTTTGTGTTCACAATATATAGTAGCTGAACGCTACAACCAGTCATAACTATTAGTAAATATATAAAATTTAGATCAGATCAATGTAAGCCCTACATTGTGTAGATTTTTGCTTATGTGATATGAACTTTGTCATGGTCATGAGCAGTTGAAACTGTAAGATGGTATATTTAGTTTTGAATTAACACACATTTTTTATTATGCCAAATTAATATGACAGGTTTCCTTCGATTTTGTCTGGAGAACAAGGCAACTTGATAGGATCAAGTAATTGTTTTTGGAAACTTGTACAAACCTTGGTATAACATCAATTTGGTGTTGTTAAGTTAGCCGTTAATACATTTTATAAGAAAAAACGTTCTGATATTATTTGTCATTTGTAAAGTGTTATACATTATTTAGTTTTTAATGTTCGGTCATGAATGAATGAAAGAAATCTCTTATCTTATTTATTCTAGGATTTAGAAATGGCAACCATCTTTAAATGCTGTTGTTTGTTCTTATTTTCTGCTTTTATTGCACAAAGTTCATTATACAGGTAAATATTTCATTTTGAAAATATTTCATTTTATAATTATTATATAAAAATTATAATGCTGTACTCTAAAGATGACACTGGATGCTCCCAAGTGAACGTGAATGTGATGTCAGATAGTCCGAGCATGCTTGAGCTAAGCGTGTAGGTCTTCGTGTAATCTACTAACCAACTAAACACAAGAAGCAAATCAAAATACATTGGTTTTAGCAAAATGGAACAATGAATTTGGCGAAAAAATTGAAATACCTGCACAAACTGTGGAATAATCTTCCCACAGATACTCACAGTTAATAATATAACTTTTTTTTCTTGATTCTTGAGTTTACCAATTTTCATTAGTTTTTGTATATAATTTCTAAATATTTGTTTATATTTTAAACATGTTTTAACTGTTAACTGTACCTTAGGGAAGAACAATGTCAAATTAATTAAGTATCCAGAATAAAGAAAGAGTTCTACCTATCTATCTACCACAGTAGATTCACTTGGTAGTAATTCATTTCTTTTCTAGCAGTTTAAAATTGTATGGCCTTATGGGCAAAATTGCTTCCCATTCACTTCCATATCATTCTTCTAATATTTCTGTGGTCCACCTCTTTTCACGCTCACTGTTATCTTACCTTCTAATAATTTTTTCATCAAGAACTGGTGCAATTTTTGGCCAAAATATACTTCTCAAAAATGAAATCAATTGACTAATTCATAAACTGGTGATTTAATCTGGCTTCATTAGTCCATCTGTACACTTTAAAAACTGATATGTTCCATTTTTTTTTTCCAGAATGGTTTCTTCTAATTTTGATAGCAGTTTAGGAAAACCAATTCCAGTCACAGAACCTGATATTTCATATAAAGATAATAATAAAGAAGATATTGAAAAAAAAGATTTTTATCTTAAAATTTAGACGACATACACAATATAATGTATACCGCACAATAGCAAGAGTTAAACACTTAAATATTTTATGCTTTAATTGTGTGTTTGTTGACATTTTTGCCATGTTTTGCATATTGTTTGATAAAAAAGTATGATAATTAGTACTAGATTTTAAAAAAAAATAGGAGCCTATATTAACACAGTCAGCTGATTTTTTTAACATTCTGTGATATACTTTTAGCCCCAGAGAGAGCATTATATAATATATGTATGTACAAATAAATAAATAATATGAACAGTGTTCAGTTTTAGGAACAAATGATGTTATAAATGTATCAGGCATAGGCCGTCATGAAAAAATTTACAGAAGAGTTGCGTGACAAAATATCTCCAGCGAAATTCGAACCAGCGATTTTGCTGACAAGGTGAATGTCATACCTTACCTTATCTCTTGTCCATAGAGACCTATCGGTATTCTCACAGATTCTATCCAGCCAGATACACTTCAATATAAGTATACTTATCATGAGGACATATCACATTGATCTTAAGTGTATTATCTGCCTACTTTGTAAAATGAAATGTGTATAAAGCGCCTTCTATATAAGAATCTCTAGTGTGAAATCAATTGCCTTCAATCTGACTAAAAATTTTCAACGTAAACTCCAGTGGCCCTGTTAAGATCCGCCCTCTCTTCTTTGTGTGATATCAAAACTACTTTAACCATAGCGCGGAGCCAGCTTTAGATATTTCAAACTCCTCACAGTCTTCGCTGTTTCCAACAAACAGTTTCTTTTTAAGTGTTTCCGTTTTGTACCTTGGGGATAATTGCCCATGATGGCTTTTGGAGCGTCAATAAGTTGAATTTAATTGAAGGCATCTGCTTATAGAGTAGAACTGGTTTAAAGTTCTGGTTGAAGCAATTTTTTTCACACTTGCAGATTCTTCTAATAAGTTTTACCGAACGATGGTATAGAGCCCTGTTATTCAACTCCTGGTCCGCCAAAGATTTTGATCCGGCCCGCACAATATTATAAAAATAAATCATTTTCCCGGCACATTTTTAAAGAGTGCCCTTTCCAACCATCTAGAGTTGCCATAATCATAAATTTGTTTACCTCGGCCCCAGCATTTTTGGTATATTTTCTTCCCAGGCCCATTCTGTTTCGAATCCACCACTATAAAATAAAATGGATGGGGCTAACATAGACACAATTTATGTCGGCCTACCACTGATCTCTACAGATTGGAACTGGCCCCCAGCTTAAAAAGGTTGAATACCTAGGGTATAGAGGATACGCCTACATGCAGGGGCCACGGCAGAAGCATTTAGTTATTGGTCAGACAGGAGTTATTTTTTATATTTCGTTATTTTAGTATTTATGTAGCGCATATTCCGTTCTGGTCAATGGGTCCACATGCCTAATTGTTGCTGCCTTTAATCAGTGCAGTAGCAGGCAACTCCACCAGGTACCCATTTATACTCCTGGGTGGAGAGAAGCAATGTAGATAAAGTGCCTTGCTCATGGACACAAGCGAAATGCACAGCGAGGGATTGAACCCCTGACCTCGTGATTGGGAGACCAAACCGTTTCCGTTGCACCAAACCACTTCCACAAAGGAGACACACCAACCTCAGCCCCACTATTGTTGAGGCCGAGTTTGAGATTTTTTTCCTTGAGAATTTAGCACTTCTGATGCTCAGAAATGGCACTCTCAAACTTCAAAAATGATCTCAGCAAAATATTGGTCAGGCAGCCATCTGACCTACCAGACCGCTTCTGTTGCCCATGATGTAACATTTTGTATATAAAAGTGTATAAGCATGCCTGTCCCCTCAAAAAGGAATATGATTATAGTGATTATATTGTATAATTAATTTTTTTAATTGAAAATCGACTGAAATATATTTAATTAATTTTATAACTTTAAATGCTTTTGATTTGTTTTTATCATAGGCCTTCTTGTGGCAGTTGAAGAATGTAAAGGTTAAATATTGGGTTGCAATTTAAAATTAAAACTTGCCATGATAAAAATATATAATAATAATAATACACAGTACTTTCTATTTTGTGCTTAGGAATGTACCAGTTACCATTTAACATAATTGATTTAACTACAAATCGACTGAAATATAATATTTCATGAAATTTAAAACTTTGTTTAAATGCTTTTGATTTGTATTTTATCATAGGCCTATTTGTGGCAGTTAAAGAATGTAAAGGTTAAAAATATTGGCTTGCCATTTAAAACTATTGATACCTGCCATGATAAAAACGTAACAATAATACACAATATTTTCTATTTTGGGTTTAGGAATTTACCAGTTTAACTGTAAATGTTTTGTTTTAATATTGTTTTGTATGTAAGAGAATACGTATTATATGACCTAAAGAGTGATACCAATTCACAAGAATAATGTTGAATATTTTATCATATCAACGACAACACGTCAGCAACTGACATCTGTGCTAATAAGCTAACAGGTGCCATACAAGTATTGGAAAACAAAATATGTATTCTCTTTTATAATGAGAGTGAAAAATCAAGCTATATTTATTCAACTTATGTTTTGTATGTTGTTGCACTATGGTACTACTGTATGTCACTCTTGTAATACATTAAAAAGTAGCATTATCCAAATACCGGTACCAACTTCATGCCAATGGCTACCAGATGTCTTGTTACGATGGTGGTTACTTGACCCAGTACCAGTACCAGTTGTTTGGTGAATTTCAAAATGATTCTTATTTTATACCATTTTAATAATTTTCTTAACATTAGTCTTTCATATGCTAGCTTTTAAAACAGTCAAAAGTAATAGAAATTAAGCTTTGAGGAAGGAATGAGTAGTTTATAATTATGTATTAGCTTTTATTAAAAATTCTAATTTGGAACCAAGCTCCAACGAGAGTTAATTAAATTACTTTTGCAATAACATAGAGGCTGAAAAATGCTTTACTCAGTCTTGAGGTCAAGTGCAGCAATGATACAGATACAGAATTGCAGAGTTGTCATTGGCGATATTGGTTGGGCTTTCTAATTGTAAATACATTTTCCCCTGAATGTGATAAATTCGTTATCACGCATAGACCTTTGCTAAATGCGTGAAAATTTATGATCACGCATGTGTTACTGAAAAATGCGTGTTTCATCCAAAACTTTGAAATGCAGGACCGTCCCGCACGATGCGAGACAGTTGGTAACTATGCACCACCAATATCACCATCGAAAATTGGTTTTATTAAAAATATAAAAACGGTCATGCAGTAATTTGAGTCATTAGACTATTTTCGTGAATACTTAATTCTTTACTGCGTTACTATTATTGTACTTCACACCAAAATGACCAGGCTACACAAGTTATACCGGTACAACAGGAAGTATTCCTTTATTCATATTTTCGCCGTACACACACAGCTCCGTTGCCAACGGTTTCAGCGAGGATTACCTTCAAACAAAGGAATACAAAGCATTTGATCAATTACTATCAGGCAGGTGGTCGCACACACATTACAACCCACGTCACAACATTACTAAAAATTGATCATTATAACTATTCATGTTTTGTTTGTTTAAGTAATGAAATGTTTGTGTACTGTAGTTGAGGTGTTCAAATAAAACATAATGTACATTGCAATCAAATTGTACGTACGTGGCTTTATTAAAAATAGGCCTACTAGATTTTTGTTTATGTAGGCCTACTAGACCGGTATTCAACAAACACTGAAATCGTTTTAAAATGTTTGCTGAGATGTCGGAGCGCCAGGCAAGGTTGCCAGATAGTCGACAGGCTTCACGGCCAAACACACGCCATCTCACGGCCAAATTCGGCCAAAAATTTTTTCAATATCGGCCAGATTTTAATCCGATTAGAAGATAGTTATGTGGGTACATATTCATTTGAAATACTGCAAAAATTACAGGAAAATCAGGGGCCGAAAGAAATTCAAATAATATACATAGAACAATGTTAAACTTCTTTTAATTAATCTATCACCATAAAATACATGCCCAGCTACATCATAATATTAAATAGCAAAGGCCCTATGTTCTTTAGTTGCTGACGCCCGAAAATAACCTTATGCGTTTGGGCGATCAATTTTTTTTTTCACCACTCCCCACCCCCTCCCCCACCTAAATCCGCTTCTGCTATTTAAAATCACATCATTAAGACTGATCTAAATTGATTTAAATGTATTACATAATAACGTACATTGTAGTCGATCTATAGCAAACATTTTAAGGTTCTGTTATTGGTCAACCCGTTTCTCTCTTTAATTAGAATGAATTAAGTTACATAGTTAGGTAACACAAACTGGCGTTAAAACAAACCTATGAAAACTTCAATAAATACTTTTTATCTAAACTTTCTAAATTCGCCTCTGAATGTTATTGTCGCAGTACTTAAAGCAATAAATCAATGTTGCTATCAGAATTATCTTCTTCATTCTCATATGCAACCCAACTCCAGAGTCTCTGCAACACTTGCTTGAAATTGGAGGTGCCATCGGACCCGGATAAGCACATCGAGCATTTATATATGGCGCTCTACATAAAGAACACTGCAGCACCTAGTGCTATACAATTCAAGTGGGCAATAATAAATCAATTAAGTACAGTATTTAATTTATATTCAAAAGAAATTCAAAAGAGATAGAACCTCCACTAGAATGGAACATATACAAAGACACACATATGGTACAAACTTGCATTGAACTTCATAAAAAATATGTATTTCATCTGAACATTTTAAATTATTAAATGTAACTTATCTTTTAAATAAACTCTCTTACCTCACATCAGCTAAAGCGGGAACATAGATTAAGTGTTTAGTGCAAACAAAGGTACATGATTCAGGGGCGAATCCATGATTTGGAAGAGGGGGGTTCAAAACGTTTCCAAAAATACCCAAAATGAAAGGGGGTCCTGGGGTCCTCCTATGGAAAATTTCCCCCTTGAATCCGCCACTGTATGGGGAATCTTTTAACGCTCATGTACCTAGGGTTTTAAAACAAATACCGTATAGGCCTATACTCACGTATAAACGAGGCTTAAAATAGCAAACTACGATCGAAAAAAGGGGGTCGTCTTATACGCACGACATTCAGATTTTAGATTTTTATATTTATATTCATGTTCGTCTTTTGTGCGGATGTTCGTCTTATGTGCGGATCGTCCGTAAATCTGGTTTTCTACTAGGCGAATTTATTCACGCGAATCCAAAGCGTCGGCTTATGCACATGCGCATTCACATTCCTATCGGAGTTTTTGAGAAGCGAAAAAATGCGCAACCAATCAGAGCTCATGAAACGAGCCGACTCTTTGAATCGCGCGAATAAATTCGCTTAGTGAAAAACCAGCTTAACACGCGAACTTACTACTGCAATGTAGCAACTAAATGTTGTATCAATGAAAACAATTTTAAATATGGGAAAAAACGACTTTGGTGGTGAAGATTTAAAAACTCATAAAATGGTATTATTTGAAAGATTACCCTTGCATTTGGCTCCATTTATCCAGCTAGACGCAGTATACAGGACCACAAAAAATTAGGAATTCCGAACATGAAACAGGGAGTCGTCTTATACGCCAGACATACAAATATCAACCAAAAATCTTCTAAAACTCGGGGGTCGTCTTATACACGGGTCACCTTATAGGACCTACGCGAGTGTATACAGTATTATTACGGAACCCTTGCGGAAGTTCGGGATCCCGTCACATTTTAAACGGTTTGTTGTAACAATAAACTCGCAAGACTGCTCGCGACTACTAGATTCTACAAGTGCGTGGTTGGCTGGGTTGTTTTGGTCGGAAAGGAGAAATTTTCTCTGTGAATTGATTCTCGAACGAGATAAAGAAAGCTCCCTTATGACTCAAGCTACTGTATACCGTTTTTATATTTTTAATAAAACCAATTTCTTCTTATTTGAAATACGTTTTCCCTTGATTTTGTGATAATTCGTTATCACGCAAGTGCTAAATGCGTGACATATTTATGACCTCGCATGTGTTTCTGCAAAATGCATTTCATCCAATATCACTTTGAAGTGATGCGTGACGGTTGGTAACTATGGCATAGATAACTGCCGGGCCCTAGGTAAAATAGGTAAAAATGCACCTGATTGGACATAGAGACAGAGCCTCTAGTGGGGTCTACTCTGAATGCTTATACGTTCTGAGGTTTTTTAAAACAGATACGGTACGGCATTAACGCTCTGAAATATCTAAAAAATATTTTGTTAAAAAAATTAAAGAATATTGAGAACAAACTATGGTCAAGTCATGTTATCGTTTAGGGCCTATTAAGCA